TATTATTTACCCTCTTCAAGCTATACCTAGATCCCTGTATCCCATAGCCCTGTTGTTCCAAGGTTGAGTGTTTTTTCACATTGTAATTGTTTTGATCATAGACTGACCTCCCAGATTCTCTGTTCTTATAATTTTCCAAATACTATCTTGTTGTTAAGCGCCATTGAGTCAGTTCTGACTTATAGTGACCCTGTAAGGGGTTTCGAGGAGCAGCTGCTGGATTTGAACTGCTGACCTAGTGGTTCTCTGTCCAGTGCTGATCCTACCGCACCACACCTGGAGTCCAAGTACTGTCATCAAGGGCACTGAGCTATCAAAATTAAGATGGTAACTTCTATCATGGTAATCAAAAGATCCTACTATTTGAGTGAAAATCTGTTACTGTTACCTTGCTAAATTGTTATGGGGTTAGAGAGGTTAGTTACCCTGTAAATAATCAACTACTGCTTTTCCTTTTCTCTTCCCACATATTTAATAAAAAGGGGGAAGGTATTGATTTATTTATTGAACATTGATGTACCAGACAGTGTAGTATGTGCTTTACCTACTTAATTTCATTTAATCTTCATGTTTAGTCCACAATCAAGTGTTGTATTCTTGTTTTACAGTTGAGAAAGGAGGTTCAACCACGTTACTTAATTTGTCCAATGTTGACGCAGTGAAAATGGACAGAACTCGAATTTGTACCTACCCTATATTGTTTTCCCAGACTGGGCTCTCTTAACACTTTATTCACCATTTATTACGTTTTGTTTTCTTTTTCCTTTAAAGATGTGATATACCATATTTGTGATTTGACTCTAAAGAATCTGGATTATTCTGAATTTTTAATGAGTTACCTTAGCAGCAGTAATCAGTAATTCATACAACACCAGCACATGAAGGACATTTGACTGTCATGAGTTCTATCCTGTCCTACCTTGCAGGAGAGCCTTTCTGACCCTCTTTTGTTTTTTTTTTTGTTTCAGGTTGGAAGAATTGTTGAAAATTCTGATGCTGTTACTGAGATTCTGAATAACCCTGAATTACTCAAGCAAATGGTTTATTGTATTCGTGGAGAAAATCTATCTGTGGCTAAAGCGGTGAGTGTGCTAGAACCATCAACTTAAACACACACACTTTGGAGCCCTAAGAAACAAATGCCTCCTGAATTTGAGGATAGAGTTCTGATGTTGTTAGATGTTATCAAGCTGGCACTGACCGGCTCATAGCAACCTATGTACAACAGAAAGAAACACCCACAACCCTTTCTGTGTTTGAGCCCATTGTCAAGCTATCTTCTTAAGGATCTTTCCCTTTTACCACTCTCTATTTTACCAAGCATGATGTCCTTCAGTGATTGTTGTTAAATGCCGTGGAATTGATTCTGACACATAGCAACCCTGTATAGGGTTTCTGAGAAGTGGTTGGTGGATTTGAACTGCTGACCTTATGTTTAGCAGTCCAGTGTTTGTCCTACAGTGCCACATCAGGACCTTTCTTCAGGGACTTGCTGTTGTTAAGTGCTGTCGAGTCAGAACCAGCTCACAGCAACCCTCTATAGGGTTTCTGATGAGTGGCTAGTGGGTTTGAACTGTTGACCTTGTGGTTAGTAGCCCAGTGCTTATCCTGCAGTGCTATACCAGCACCCCTTAATAACACATCTAAAGTAAGTGGGACGAAGTCTCACCATTTCTGCATATAAGGAGCATTCTGACTGTACTTCTTCCAACATAGATTTGTTTGTTCTTCTAGCAGTCCACAGTACTTTAATATTCTTTTCTAACACCATAATTCAAAGATATCAATTCTTCTTTGCTTTTCCTTATTCATTATTCAGCTTCCACATGAATATGAGCTGATTGAAGATGGTTTGGGTCATGTGCACCTTAGTCCGCAAAGCGACTAAATCTTTGTTTGTTAAAGAGGTCTTTTGCAGCAGATTTGCACAGTGCAATAAATACCACATTTGATTTCTTATCTGCTGCTTCCATGGGTGTTAATTGTGGATCCAAATAAAATCTTTTTCTCTATCGTGATGTTGCTCATTGGTCCAGTTGTAAGACTTTTTGTTTTCTTTATTTTGAGGTGTAATCGGTGTAACTTTGGTCTTCATCAGTAAATATTTCAAGCCTTCACTTTCAGCAAGCGACTTTGTGTCATCTGCATGTCACAGATTGTTATTAAGTTTTCCTCCAATCTTGATACTGCATTCTTCATTATATAGCCCAACTTCTTGGATTCTTCAACTTTAACCTAAAATTGCATACAGGCAGTTGTTAGTCTGTTCTGCAGCTGGAACCTGAAATTGTTGATTGATCATATTGAGCTTCTTTATCATCTCTGTTCATAGATGTAATAGATTTGATTCTTATGCATTCCATCTGGGGAGGTCTATATGTATAGTTGCCATTTATGTTGAATAAAGTATTTCTAATGATTTGATTGTTGGTCTTGCAAAAGTCTATCATATATTCTCTGGCATCATTTCTATCATCAAAGCCTTATTTTGCCACTTCTTCTTTGTTTTTAACTTTCCCATTTGGAATAGTTACTGGTAATTATCAATGCATCTTGATTGCATGTTTGATCAATTTCATACTGCAGACATATGTAAAAATCTTTAAATTAGTTTCTTTGGCATTAGTGATTGGTGTGTAAATTTGAATAGTAGTCATATTAACAGTTTGTCCTTATAAACTATGATTATTATCCTGTCACTGATAGCTTTGTACTTCAGGATAGAACATGAAACATTATTTTTGACAATGAATGAGTTACCATTTTTCTTTAATTTGTGACTCCCAATGTAGTAAACCTTATGAGTGGTTCATAATGGCCAATACCAGTCCATTTCACCTCATTAATACCTGGGTTATTTGTCTTACAGTATTTCATTTTATTTTTGACACTTTCCAGTTTTTCTAGATTCATACTTTGGACATTTCATGTCCTGGTTATTAACAGATGTTTGCAATTGCTTCTTCTCACTTTGAGTTGTGCCACATCATTAAGGTCAACTTTATTTAAGGAGGCATCTCTTCTCCTTTTCTCCTGTCATTTTGTTTGTTTTTAAACTTTTATATTGTGAATTGAGTGAATGTTTATAAGTAGTTTACATTAGAAAGGTCATAAAAATTTTGCTTATCTCATTGATTGCAGTCCCCTCAAACAGTTAATTATTCTAATCTGTATGTACCTCACTAATACTAATGTTCCCCTTTTAGATTTATATGTTGTTTGGCTGAAAATTGATCCATGGGGGTGAGTTCACTTCCAGACCTTACGGATGACCAGACCTTAAGGATGACTAAGGACCCTATTCTCAGATTCCATCAGTCTCTATTCTACCAGTAAACCTGAACTTTTTTTCTCCTATTGTGATCCCTTTCAGAGCAGTTGGTTGTGGTAGCCAGGCACCATCTCATTCGTCTGGTGTCAGGGTTGTGGAGACTGATGTTCACTTGTTCTAATTGTTTCTATGCATCTAAGATTTTCATCACTCTTTTATCCTCTGAACAGAGAGAGACCAATAGTTGTACCTTAGATGGCTACCCGTAAGTTTTTAAGACCCCATTTGCAACTCACCAAAGTAGAATATAGAACATTGTCTTTGTGGACTATGTTATGTCAGTTGACCTTGGTGTCCCCTAAGACTGTGTCCTGAACCACCAGTCCAGCAATTCATCTTCTCAAGGTGCTTGGTTTAAGAATTTTTCATAACTTTGCCCCAAGTATGCTCCACATACATGGATGTTTGCTGCAAAAGTACCCATGTACAAATACCGTCTGTCAAACTTTATGCTTGTATGTACACTCCCATTCTCTCTCCTACAGCCAGTCAGCCTAAGTGGCTCTCCATGTATCTGTTTATAGATTACTGTTATTACCGGATTGTGTACATAACAGAATTTACCTGTTTTGCTTTTAGCCCTTGTACTCCTCCTTTGTCTTCTCCTGCCTCCATCGTTTTGTTTGCCAACCCCCCTCTTATTGTATGTTACCTTCCCCTTCACCCAAGTTAACCCATGTATATCCTGTTTAAAGTGTTCAAGAGCAAAGGTACCTGTTTGAGTACTAAAGTGTACCTGACCCAAATCATGGTACTTTCAATAGCTTCACATGCATGTGAAAATTGGACAGTGAATAAGGAAGACCAGAGACGAATTGATGCATTTAAGTTACGGTGTTGAAGAAGAATTTTGAAAGTACCATGGATTTCCAGAAGAACAAACAAATCTATCTTGGAAGAAGTACAAATAGAGTGTTCCTTAGAAACTAGGATGTCAAGACTTCATCTCTTAGACTTTGGACATCTTATCAGGAGAAACCAGTCCCTGGAGAAGAACATCATGCTTGGTAAAATGGACAGTCAGTGAAAAAGAGGAAGACCCCCGATGAGGTGGATTGGCACAGTGGTAGCAGCAGTGGGCTAAAATGTAACAACCATTGCGAGGATGGCTAGGACCGGGCAGTGTTCTGTTCTGTTGTGCATAGTGTTGTTATGAACCTACTCAATGGTATCTTAAAACAGCAACGTCCTGTAGCCAGTGAGTTACTCCCCCTACCCTCCCACCTCAAGTGACCTTCAAAGAATTTTTCTTTTACCTGAAAACCTTTGCTTGACTTTTTACAATAATAGTTTCATGCGTTATTTGTCCTTTTGTGATTGACTAATTCCATTCAACGTGTCTTCCAGGTTCATCCATGCAATTAGGTGTTTTGCATATTCATTGTTGTTCTTTAATATTGTGTGGTATTTCATTGTGTGTATGTACCAAAGTTTGTTTATTCATTCTTCTATTGATTGGAATTCTGGTTGTTTCCATCTTTAGGCTATTGTGAATAGTGTTGTGATGAACATGAGTGTGCATTATCTATTCATGTCACAGCTCTTATTTTTCCAGGATATATAACAACTAGAAGACTTGCAAAGTCATACAGTATTTCTAATTCTAACTTTTTGAGGAAATGCCATACTGTTTTTCATGCTTGTTGCACCATTTGAAGTTCTATCAGCAGTGTTGGAGGGTTCTAGTTTCTCCATACCCTTGCCAGCATTATTTGTTCTCTGTGTTTTTTTAACTTTACTACTAATGCTGGAGGAGGATGGTATTGCATCTTTGTTTTGCTTTACATCTCTCTAATGGCCAGTGCAAGGAGACCTGGTAATGTAGTTGGTTATGAAATGGGCTGCTAACCTCAAGGTTCAAGATTCAGTTTGAATCTACCAGTCACTCTACAGGAGAAAGATAAGGCTCTCTGCTCCCGTAAAGATGTACAGTCTACTGTAAGTCGCTGTGAGTCAGAACCAACTCGAAGGCACATAAGCACCACCACCAGTAGCCAGTGGGAGTCCTGGTTTGGCACTGTAGGATATGCACTGGATTGCTAGTCGCAAAGTCAGCAGTTCCAACCCTCCAGCCATGTCTCAGAAGCCCTATACATGATCACTATGAGTTGGTTCTGACTTGACAGTACTTAACAATAACAAGTGACCAGTGCTTGTGAACATTTCTTCATATGTTAACTACTTAAATGTCATCTTTGATGAAGTGCTCCAGTTGTATTTTGAGTTCCTTACAACTAAGACACTCATCTTCTGGCACTGTCTGAAAAAATGTTTTGCTGCTATTTGTCAGGTTCTTAGTGGTCTTTTTTTTTTTTTTCCCCTTAATAAGTAGATTGCCAGATCCTTTTTTCTGTCTTAGTCTGTAAGCTCCGCTGTAACCTGTCCACCAGAGGCAACCCTGCTTGTGTTTGAAATACTGTGTCATAACTTGCAGCATCACAGCAACATGCAAGCCACCACAGTTCAATAAACAGACAGATGATGGAAAGGTATAGGTCTCCTGTGGTTTATTTGTGTAATTGAATTTGCAGCCTCATGTAAATACTGGTGATGATCTTGTCCTATAAACACCAGTGAACCGCTTCTGTTTTCCAGGCTACACATTAGCCATCATAGGGCTTACATTGGCTTGCTTGATTAGAAGCAAAGCTTATGTAAACTATTTTCTTGATGAAGTACTATCTGTCTTTCCAGTTATAATAATAGCTAATGATTAGTTACTAAAGAGGTATTTTCTTTCCTTATAAGGCCATCAAATCCCTATCAAGAATATCATTAACCCAAGCAGGACTAGAGGCTTTATTTGAAAGCAATCTGCTGGATGATTTAAAAAATGTGATGAAAACAAATGACATTGTACGCTACAGGATATATGAGGTAAGAATGCACCATACTATCTGATACCTTACACTTCAGATCTGTACAACTTACAGTGAAAGGCAGGAGAGTTTATTTGGCATGCATTTGTTTGTGCATAGTCTGTGTTAGGTCCTATACTAGGTGTCAGAGGCATAGGAATGAATTCCCAACAGGGTATATGAGATAGATAAAAAGTTTTTTACAATGCTAAGATAGAGGAGGTGCCATTAGAAGCAGACTTTGAAAATAGTAGTAGTGGTGGTGGGTAGAATACTAAATGGCTCTCATTTTACTGAGCGCTGTACTTAAAACTTCACATGTATTTTCTTTAATTATCACAGCACACCTATATGTTGAAAATATAATCATTAGCTTCACTGTTGTCATGGACCCAAGGTCACGTAGCTCGTCAGTAGCATATTCAGAATGGATTTCTCTACAGTCGAATTCCCTCACCACTATATTTTCTCACTTATCATATCTTGTTACAATACCATCTTGGACTTCTTCTGCCTCTCTGTGTCACAATCTCTTCACATAATCTTTTATTAAATCTTTAATTGTTGGTGGAGCCCCAAATCCTGTTCTCACTATATATTCATTCCATAGGCAATTTAATTCATCTTAAGATTTTAACTCCCACATACATCCTGATGACTTTCCAATGTAAGTCTCTTCTGAACTGAGACCTTCATGTCACTTCTTGGAACTATTCTCTACCCATTAGACTCATGCACAAACCAAACTCGTGGTCTCCCCCACCCTTCCTGTACCCCAATAAAAATCATCAGTAACAAACTAGCCTTGTTTCACAGTAGTCAGTGCTTGACAGATCATAGACCTTGAGTCATCTGTACAGCCATCACCACCTTGGTCTAAGCTAGTATCTCACCTGGTCAACTGCATTTACCTCCAAGCCTGTCTCCACTCATCCATCTTTACCACTTCTAGTCTATTTTCACATGCTCTCAGGATGATATCTTAATAATCTAAGTCCTCTTACCTTGTTTAATTTCTCGTAGTCACGCCTTAGGACATACCTGTTGGCTGACTGAATGACAGAATACATGAGTGAATGAATGGATTTTTAAAAATAATTAATCTGGTGTTGCTGACTCAAGTTTTGTCCTCTGATTAGTGATTCCTTAAAAATAAAGGTATGTGGGCTGAGTTCAACCATGTTCCATAGACTCCCATTGACCTTGAGATGAGAAAAAGAAGAGGAAGGGCTGGTTGGTCTGAAGTTTGGGTAGACTTGGGAACTCCTGAGCCTGTGGACACTAACTAACCTAGCCACTAGGGGCTAGAGCTGAGAGTGAAGCATCCAGCTGATAGCAAGTGAGGGGAGGTGCACAAGAATGCCCAAACTTGAAGATAGTACCCATTTGACCTAGCTTGGATGGCTTGCTGATCCAAACTGACTAGAGGAAGATTAAAGAAGTTTAATACAGGAAGCAAGTGTAAAGTGCTGCAGTTTGATGAACTTGACCTTTACTTAAGGATATTATTGTTGTTATGTGCCGTGGAGTCGCTTCCGACTCATAACGAACCCTGTACAGGGTTTCCGAGGCTGTAAATCTTTATGGGAGCAGATAGCCTCATGTTTCTCCTGCGGAACAACTGGTAGTTTCGAACTCTTGACCTTGCAGTTCACAGCCCAATTCGTAAAATACCAAACGAGACGTAAGGAGTCTTCACATCAAGGATCAAGCTTATCATCTCAGTATACAGAGTTGATAGGTACGGGCAACATAGACATTGGCTACCTAAAATGAGGGGACTATAAAGGCACAAAACGGCTGGCTTACAAATTTTTGAGAGGGAGGTTAGTTTCAGAGTGAGGAGGGCAAGCTAGAATCCCCACTGAATAGTTTTCATCTTGTCTAGATGGTTCTGGTGAAAGGAGATAGGATAGGATTCTTTTGATTCAATAATGAGTGACTGTTACCATTACTAATTGCCACTGTCTCTACTATAAAGGTAGAAGTTGTGTAACAAAAAGGGGGAAGTAGTTAATCTTACATTCCAGGAAGAGAGGAACCTAGGGCCACCAAGAGGGAAGAGCATGAGCAAAACATGGGATCCTAACCAGAGAAGCAGTGACACCAGAGACAGAGGCAGAGATGATGGAATGGAGAGATAGAGCAGCTGAATATTCTAGACTCATGGAAAGAAAAAGGCTATGTGCTGGCAGTAGGAGACTGGATTGACAAATGTGCCCTTTGATTGTTTAAATGATTATATATTTTTGCGTGGTTTGTGTACATTTAAAAAAAAAGGAATAGAAGCAAATACTGTTAACAGATAATGCATGGAGGGAATTGCAATCATTGCAATGAAACAAAATACAAGTGGTTGAGTGTAAAACTGGTGTTCTGCCATGTAAAACTATTACTCATTCATAATACAAGCTTTTAAAAAAAGAGAGAGAGAGAGATGGAGAGAGCAGTGAGCAGTGAGCAGTGTTCCGAAGGACCGACCACCACCAAGAAAGAAGAAAAGAAGAGATGGGAGTTAAGTGCATCCTTTGGACTTGGGGTCCCGGCACTGTGACACTCCTAGATCCGGGGAAGACTGATGCCAAGACACACAGAGATCTCCAAGGGATGCTGGACCTACAGATGCTAAAGGGAGACAAGGACCTTTCTGCAGAGCTGGCTCTCTGAATTCAGACTTGTAACCTTGTGAACTGTGAAAAAATAAAATTTTGCGAAAAGCCCAAAAAAAAAAAAAAAATGCACGTAAACTAAGATATATTTCTTATGTGTTCAATAAATTTTCCTACTTTTTATAGATAAATCATGGATTTTTAAAAGTTCAATTACTATATGAAGTACATAGTTCTGTATTTAGAATGAGATCTTACAAATATAGGACTGTTTTCATCTTTCTGCTTTTCCTGTTCTTTTAGCTGATTGTGGAGATTTCTTCTGTGTCACCAGAATCTTTAAACTACTGTACCACCAGTGGGTTGATAACCGAGCTCCTCAGAGAGCTGACTGGTGAGGATGTGCTGGTCAGGTATGTTGACTGAGACTGGGCATTAAGACTATGCCCTCTTTTGGAGGACTGATAAACAACCCTTCCTGTTAGAGCCAGGGCCCAAGTTGAATGTCGTGAAGAGGTGCCTTTAAATTATTGCTCAAGTTACATCATTACAGCATGCTAGACCTTAGAAGTTTAATTTCTAACTTAGAAAAATTAATTTTATGAAGTTTTAGCCTTGAATCAAATTTTGTAGCATAAAAATATCCTGCCAAAAACCAGTCGAATAACTTAAGGTTGAAATACTGCTACTTTTGATTGGCTGTTTCCTGACCCTAGTTTTTTGTGTTCTTAAAAGTTTATAGTTGTGTGTTAGCTGTCAGAACCACCACCACCTTAGCATTATGGAAGAAACGTGGTGGTGGTGTACCACAGAGTCAGTTCCAACTTATAGCAACCCTGTACAGGGTTTCTGAGCCTGTAAATCTTTACAGGAGCAGAAAGCCTTAGCTTTCTCCCAGGGCTGTAGTTTTGAATTGCTGACATTTAAGTTAGCAGCCCAACTCATAACCACTGTGCAACCAAAGTTCCTTATAGAAGAAACAGGCTTTTGAAAATGAGAACGATTTGGGCATGAATGTATCTCTACTAATCAGCTGCTTTGACCTTGAACAAATTATTGTAACCTTTCTGTATCTCCGTTTGCTTCTCTATTAAATGGAACAATAGCAAACCTCTACAGAAAGTATTATAAAGAATAAATGAATTGACCTTTGCTGCTGTTATGTGCTGTTGAGTCAGTTCTGACTTAAAGTGTCGTGAATAGGGTTCCCAAGGAGCTCCTGGAAGGTTTGAACCGCTGACCTTGCAGTTAGCGGTCTAGTGCCATACCAGCACATAGAAACTAATATACTGGCTAACATAAGTACTCAGAGAAATATTAATTTTGACCTCATCACTCGCAGCCCCCTACTCCCTAAATCTCTTTAATACTTACCAAATGTTTCCTTGTTGATAGTCCAGAATTTACTAGTATATATTCCTTGTTGGACACTTGGTTTGCTTGAGGTACTTGGCTCTTATAAATAATGCTATAGTTAACATCTTTGTGAATAAGTATTTTGGTTTTTTCCTTCTCTTAAATGATATCTTATTATCCTGTATTCTTTAAATGTGATTAAAATGATTAAATTCATGTTCACAAATTAGCCCCAGTATTAGTAGATTGTTTCGAATCATTTGAATGTCTTTACCTAAGATTAAGGAACCCTGGTAGTGTAATGATTCAGTGCTTGACAGCTAACTGGAAGATTAACAGTTCAAATCTACAGGCTGATCCATAAGAGAAAAGACCTGGCGATCTGCTTTTTAAAGAGTCCAGCCTTGGAAACCCTACTGGGCAGTTCTACTCTGTCATGAAGGCTCACTATGAGTTAGCACACAACAACAATGAAAAATTAATTTTGTTGTTAAATTTTAGCCTTGTATCAAATTTTATAGTGTAAAAATATCCTGTAAATTGACAAGAATAGCTTAAGGTCATCAGTAAAAATGTGCTTTTTAGTCATTTGGAGAAATTTGATCCTGGTTGGATATTAAATGATACCAAGGAATTAATTTTTCACATGTTGTAATAGTATTATAATTATGTAAAGATAAGTAATATGTGTTAGAGATGCATTCTTAATTATGTAGGAGTAGATGGTGACTAGGACTTGCTTTAAAATAATTTGTTAAAAAGTAGAGTAAAACAAGATGAAATAAGTGAAGCAAAATCTGTATGCTGTCCAATCAGCGCTATGGATACATAGGGTTTATTTTACTGTTCTTTTAATTTTTTTGTGTATTTGACTTATCACAATAAAAGAAAAGTTTCTAAAGCTTCTTAGGATTCAGGTATGTTGTCATGAAAACAACAGTGGGCCCCCTCCCCTCCCAAGTCAGAAAACCAAGATTTAAGGATAAAATAAATAAACTCTGTTACATTAACTACACAATACTGGAAAAGTCACTGTAACTTTCTAGGTTTTTTTATCCTCACCTCAAAAGTAGAGCCAGGATGAATGACATTTTAGGTTTGGGATACAGCAGAGTGTTTGTTAAACAAGATAATGTATATGGAAACAACTTATATACTATGTCCTTCATAAGCAGCATCTACCTGTTATTCTTCTGATGTTGCAGAGTCACCTGTATAGAAATGGTAACATCCTTAGCACATACTCATCATGGACGACAGTACCTTGCTCAAGAAGGAGTAATTGACCAGATTTCTAATATAATTGTTGGGGCAGATTCAGACCCTTTCTCTAGCTTCTATTTGCCAGGTAAGAAGCAGTGATGCCTGTGGTAATGACCATGACTGTTTTTCAGTTTTCTTTGATAGGAGAGATCAGGAATTGTGCTCCTTATAGCTGATTCCTTTTAGAAGACATTTGTAACTCCTGGATGAAATAGAATCTATTGCCTAGGAGCGATGCACTATTAATTCTGACTTTGTAGAACTATTGGTACTGTTTGGAGTATTATAATAGTTTTATAAAGAAGCTAAGATAAAAATAATAGTAATGGCATTTACAGTATATTTTACAGATTCATCAAACCTTTGGAATCGTTGTCTAATGTCAGAGCTTCTCCAGCCATTTTATTCTAGTGAATGGTTAACTAGCTTTCCTTGAGCACTTCCAGAAATTGGAGATTTATTCCTTCCTTAAGTAACCTAGTGTATTTCATTGTTGAACATGTCTTTTAAAAATTTCTTCCAAATAATAACTCCAACTTCCTTCCCTAAAATTTCTATCCATTGCGTGGTTCTTCGTTTTCCTGAAATATTTGGACCCAGCTTTGTGGACACCTTGGGGTTTCCACTCTCATAGGCCCACACATCAGTGGTCCTTTGGTATCTTCTTATTGGTTCCCATGCAGCACACTACCCTCGCCTTTCTCCATCTTTGTGACCTATAGTTTAGTACTATTCCTATGAAAGCACAGGGCCCCAAGATTGTACTGTATTTCTCCTCTATTAAAATAGATTTTTTTAAATATCTTTAGGATTTGTGAAGTTTTTTGGGAACCTGGCTACTGTGGATAGCCCTCAGCAGATCTGTGAGCGTTATCCTATCTTTGTGGAAAAGGTCTTTGAAATGACAGAAAGCCAGGACCCCACTATGATTGGTGTAGCAGTGGACACAATTGGAATCCTGGGATCCAATGTTGAAGGGAAGCAAGTTTTACAGAAAACAGGTAAGTATGACTCATTTTTATTGTCTTTAATAATATCTTAATTGTAGACAGATAAATATATAAATTCATTTGTTAGTGGGGTAACTGCATTTTAAAATAGAACTGTTTTTGTCAGTGGCACTCTTTTTAACTATGACCCTTGAATGAACTCATTCCTAAAAACAAATCTCTCATGAATACTAATAAAGTCATTTTCTTTTTGCTTCTCATGCTTTAGAGAGTCTTCCAACCAAGTTGGCAGGACCAAATACTGTTTCCCCTCCAAATCTTCCTGAATAGTATTCACATGGAGTAAAGACCCTGGGCTCTGGAGCCATGTCCTGGTTCTAACATTGAGTTTTATGGCCCTTTTGTGTCCTTTCATTTTTCTAAGCTTCATTTACTTTTTTTTTTTTTTTTAATGTTTCATTGTGAATTATATGATAGTTTACATGGGAGAACATTAGTTTTATATTCATTCTATCATATATTGTTTCATTGCCATGGTTACAGTCCCCTCCATGCATCATCAACCAACCAAAGGGTATACACTGCAAGCCTGCCCCCTGCACTACCCCTCCACCCCACCCCCAGTCTTCAGCACACAGTCACTCTCCCTCTCTGGATCTAAAGTCCCCAGCTGCTCCATTGCTCCATGTCATCATCTCTGCCTCAATCTCAGGCATTGCTGCTTCTCTGGGTAGGGTCCCGCTCTCAGCTCTTCTCCGTTGATGGTCCCAGAGACCTCTGCTCCTGGACTGGAAAGTTAATCACTCCCGGCCATGCTATAAAATGTCTACTTTTACATTTCCAACACTCACAATCAGTCCTGATAACAATTATTCACTTCATTTACTTTTTAAAAAGGGGTAACAACTAAATCTCAGGGTTTCTGTGAATATTTAATGTAAAAATACATTGGTTTGTATTTGTAATATTAAGGGAGGAAAAGAAACACAAATTCGTCACTGTTTTATACAAAGAATGATGCCGTTAATGGTACTTACATTAGTATTTCAAAAGATATATAAATTCTACACAAAAAAGAATATAGAGCACTATTATTAAAACCCTTGTGAAATGTATGTTGAAAGTGAGTATGCTGTTGTATATAGCAACTAGTATCCTTACATATACTTTTCTAAGAACCTATTATTGTCATTCTATGTAAAGATAAGGAAAATCTAATAAAGTTATATATACTATTGTTATTGTATATTGTTGAGTCCATTTCCACTCATAGTGACCCTATAGGACAGAGTAGGGCTTTCTAGGATGCAAATCACCCCGTCTTTGATCTCACAGAGTTGTTAGTAGGTTCAAACAGCTTGCTTTTCAGTTAGCAACTGAGCCCTTAACCATTGCACCACCAGGGCATCTGGATCCCAGCATTTAGAATTCTATAGCCTATACACTTTGCCGTAAATATGCCATAAATGTGTGTGTGTGTAGATATATTGTATATGAATTTGTATTTAATTTCTATATTACATATGAATGTGTATTTGAAAACAGATCTGTTGCTTGGTCTCTGACTGCATATTTATTTTTGTGTTGGTTTAGGTTGGTAGGAGTCACAGTGTATGAAAGCAGTTTTAAAAATTTCATTGTTATTCCTTCAAAGGAACTCGCTTTGAGAGCTTACTCACGAGAATAGGACATCAAGCAAAGAATGCTTCAACAGAGCTAAAAATTAGGTGTTTGGATGCAATTTCCTCTCTTCTGTATTTACCAGTAAGTGAATTGGGAAATTAATAAAGGGCAATGGGAAGTATTTGGGCAAATAATGTTGAACACAATATAAATGTGACAGAGTAAAAGAAGATAAAGATACAACTTTATCCTCATGTGACTAGTGACATTTTTAAATTAAAGAGGAATAATAGAAAATTAGAACTGGAGAAGACCCTGGGATTGCTTAATCAGTCACCTAAAAATCACCTGGGGTATAAGCAGTTCAACAGTCCTGTCCCCCATCAACAACACCTAAAAAACAAAAAAAGGAGAAACGCAGAACCAGCTTTGTCAGAACTCTGGAAATCAAAGAATTACAGGAACTAAGTGAATGTGGAATCAAGAAAAAGGTGACTATAAACGGTAGGGAAATTTGGTTTTCTACCTGCCTGTGCCTTATCCTCTCCCCAGCAAAGTATAGCCATCTTAAAGTGGCAGTGGCCTGCATTTCCAGAAGAGGGAGTCTGGTCTGTGGCTGTAGAGGGAATAGAGCAGACTTTATTAGCAGATTTCTCTGTGGGCCGATTTTAATTTGCCTGTTGTTGTTAAGTGCTTGCTGAGTCACTTCTGACTCATAGCAACCCTGTATAGGGTGTCTGAGGAGTAGCTGATGGGGTTGAACTGCCGACCTTGTGGTTAGCAGTCCAGTGCTTATCCTATAGCACCACATCAGAATTCATTCTAATTTGTCTAGAGGTTTCCAAAAGGACTGAAGCAAGGTGTTCTCACTTTGCCCTGTGTCTGAGCTCATGCAAGGTAAGGGGCAGCTAGTAACAGCAAGCTGTAGCTGCCTGAGGCTAAAGATGTAATTGACGCATGGAGTACACCATACAGATTTAAAGGAAAAGCCAGTTACTTTCAGAAACTAAGGCTTTCAAAAGTATGCTTATGAGACTCTATCTGGTAAAATTTTTCCTTCAAAATGAGGGCAAAATTAAGACATTCCCAGATAAACAAAAGCTGAAGGAGTTTGTAACCATAAGACCTGCCCTTTAAGAAGTGCTTAAAGGGATTCTTCAGGTTGAAATGAAAGGACTTGAAGCCGTATGAAGAAAAACTTTTATGGATTAAAGACTGGTTTTATGGTATTTTTGGTGTCTAATTCTACTTGTTATGTCTTACTTGATTGAAGAAACAAATGCATTAAAAATGTTGTTGTTGGTAAGTGCTGTCAAGTCGGTTCCAACTCATAGTGACTGTATAGGGTTTCCAAGGAGCAGCTGGTAAGTTTGAACCATCGACCTTGTGGTTCAAACCTACCTTACAGTCTAGTGCTTATCCTCCAGAGCCATGCCAGAATGCCATTAAAAATAAAGATAAATTTACTATGTTGGACACAAATGTATTTTATTGTTGTTAAGTGCCATTGAGTCAGTTCCAACACATAGTAACCCTATATAGAGTTTCCAAGGAGTGGCTGGTGAAATTTGTGACAACAGCAACAAAATTTTGTGGAGGAGTGTGTAGAAACAGTTTTTGTATATTATTGAAGCTATTATCAATTTAAATTAGCTTATTATATACTTGGAGTTCTGGTGTGATGCTGCAGAATAAGGTGCTGGACTGAAAGATCAGCAGTTTAAACTCACCAGCCACTTGGAAATCTTATACAGGGTCTCTATGAGTCAGAACCTACTTGATGGCACTTAACAACAATTGTATATTAAATATTATCTCCATAATGTAAATATCTAAATAAAACTACACAATAGGAAAAGGGAATGAAACCACAACAGTTGCTCACTACATAAAAACAACTAACTGCAAAAGCAGGCAATAGTGAAAATAAGAGCCAAAAAGGTATACACAGAGAGCAAAATGGCGAAAGCTCTTCCTTATCAGGAGTGGTTTAAATAGATGAAATTCTTTAACCAAGAGAAGGACGTTGCTGCTGCTGCTGCTGCACATCATTGAGTCAGTTCTGACTCAGCCACTTTGTATAGGGTTTCCGAGGCTATAAATCTGTACAAGAGCAGAAAGCCTCATCTTTCTCCCATGGAGTGACTGGTGGATTTGAACTTCTGACCTTGAGATTAGCCTAGCACGTAACCCACCATGTCACCAGGGCTCCTCCTTCTTGTTATTAAGTGTTGTCTAGTCAGTCCCAACTCATAGCCACCCTATATAGGGTTTCTGAAGCTTTAAATCTTCTCAGGAGCAGAAAGCTTCATCTTTCTCTCATGGAGTGACTGGCAGACTTGAACTGTGGACCCTGTGGTTCAAAGTCCAGTGCTTATTGTATGGAGCCACCATGTTCTTAGGGTTCCTTAGAAATCAGCAATATGGATTTAAAAACACACACACACAAAAAAAACTATATGCTGTCTGTAAGAGACCCACTTTAGATTCTAGACACAACTAGGTTGAAAGAAAAGAATTTGCAAAAATAATACCCCATGCACATAGTAACCAAGATGCTGGGGTGTTGTCAGATACCATGTAGTTAGTTCTGACTCCTAGCGGTCCTATACACAACAGATCGAAACACTGCCCGGCCCTGTGACATCTTAACAATTGTTACACTTAAGTACATTGCTACTGCCTGTATGTCAGTCCGTCTCATTGTGGGTCTTCCTTCTTCTTTTTCGCTGACCTTCCACTTTACCAAACATGATGTCCTTCCCTAGGGACTGGTCCCTCCTGATAGTATGTCTGAGAGACAAAGTCTCACCAACCTGGCTTCTAAGGAGCATTCTGACTGTACTTCTTCCAAGGCAGATTTGTTCTTCTGGTAGTTCATGATAGTTTTATTATTCTTTTCCAATACCTTAAATCAAATGCATCAATTCTACTAGCCTTCCTTATTCACTGTCCAACTTTCACATGTATATGTGGCGATTGAAAATACGATGACTTGGGTCAGGCACACCTTAGTTCTCAAACCGACATCTTTGCTCTTAAACACTTTAAAGAGACCTTGTGCAGCAAAATAGCCAGTGGAATATGGCGTTTGATTTCTTGACTGCTGCTTCCTTGAGTGTTGATAATGGATCCAAGCAAGATGAAGTCCTTGACAACTTCGATCTTTTCTCCATTTATCTTGATGTTATGTATTGGTCTAGTGGTGGGGATTTTTGTTTTCTTCATGTTGAAGTGCAACCCATACTGAAGACTGATATTTGATCTTCATCAGTAAATATCTTAAGTCCTCTTCACTTTCAGCAAGCAAGGTTGTATAATCTGCATATCGCAGGGGTAGTTTTATTAATATCAGACAAAATAGACATTTTGTTGAACTCTATTATAAGACATAAGGAAAGACTTTACAAAATGATAAAAGGGTATATCCAGAGAAGCAGCGAGGTAGAGATGATGACATGGAGAGATAGAGCAGCAGAGGACTGTAGACTCCTGGAAAGAGAAAGGCTGTGTGTGGCGGCCAGGAGGCAGGCTTTCAGAATGTGCCCTTTGGTTAAACGATTATATGTTCCTGAGTGTTTTTGTGTACATTCCTCAAAAGTAAATAAATAAACAAAAACAGAGGGAATAGAAGCAAACACTATTGAATGATGATGCGCGGGGAGGGGATTGTAATCATTGCAATGAAACAAAGTACAAATGAATGAGTGTAAAATTGATGTTCTCCCATGTAAGCTATCACTCCATTCACAATAAAAAACTTTTTTTAAATGTTAAAAAAAAAAAAAGATAAAAGGATAGATTTATCAAGATACAATAATTATATATACACGTAACTACAAACTTAAATTTATCTCTGAAGCAAATACTAACACAATCGAAGTAGAGATAGATGTTTCTACAATAATAGTTGAAGACTTTAGAGTACCACTTTTCATAGTGAATGGAACATCAGAATAGATCAGGAAATAGAAGACTTACACACTGAGCCAACTAGACCTAACAGACATGTATGGAACATTTCACCCAACAACAGAATGCAGAGTCTTCTCCAGTATACATAGATTGCTCTCTGGTACAGACCATATGTTAGGCCACAAAACAAATCTCAATAAAAGAATTAATAAAATGGAAAATTTTTTTATTATAGAAAGTTTATGATAATAAAATTATTAAAAACAAAATGAAACTGGGAAGCCTCTGAAGTGGATTTGAGGAAGAGTGCTCCAGACTTAGTCAAAATCACAGGACAACTTGCTGACTTAAGTGCCGTCAGTGACCAGGTTTTCTGACTTCCAAATGAGTACTTTTCTCAAAACAAGTTAGCCTTGTCCTGAAGTAATCCTTTTCTCTCCTGTAGCCTGAGCAACAGACTGATGACCTCCTGAGGATGGCCGAGTCCTGGTTTACCTCTCTATCTCGGAACCCACTGGAGCTCTTCCGTGGCATCAGTAATCAACCCTTCCCTGAATTACACTGTGCTGCCTTAAAAGTGTTCACGGTAGGTTCCACGGGGTCCTCCTAGAACTCTCTTAGTTAAACACATGAGCAGCCCCTTTGCATGCCCTGGGAATACACGAGTGTTTAGTGCAGTTTCTGTCTTCTGTTATCTTAGAGACTAATGAGAGACAGTGCTGTGGCAGAGACTTGAGCAGGGTGCTATGAGATCACGAATAAGTTCCAGGTTCCAGACCCCTTCTCTTTCTGCCATTCAAGCAATTCTCCAGTGACCTAGTCCTGGTTGTTCTTTTCTTAGTCTTGTTATCTGTCGGTTCCCTTTTGGCACTTAAATGTTTTGGTAATACCAAACTGCTTGTTCTTTGCATGTAATACTTTTCGCTAACTTTGCTTGTTAACCTCTTACTCATTCTGCAAAGATTAATTTAGGTATCTCTTCAGCATGTCTTGCCCAAACCCAAAAGTATGAGAGAATCTCTGCTCTCATACTTTGCAAGAAAGAGTTTCTCTTTCTTTCCTAGTGCTGAGATAGTGTTTGGGATAGAACAATGAACAAGATTATACAAAGACCCTCCTTTCATATATATATAGCTCACTGTCTAATGAGGGAGCCAGGCAGTAAATGTAATTATATAGCTAATTATGGAATTGTAATTGTGGTAAGGCTTTAACTGTTTTCTGTTTATTACTTTAATTGAAAATTTTTATTGGACTGTCTTACCTCTTAAAGTTTCTTAAGAGAGGGACTATATCTGATTTATTTTATCTTTGTAGCCTAAGTATTTATCAGGTTGCTTGGGCTTGGAGAAATTTAGTAAACTTAATAAAGGGATCTGAGGCAGTAGAGTGGAGTGGGTAAGGAAAAGGAGAGTGGAGGAGACAAGAGATGGAAGCTTTCTGAAGGATGCAATACATGATCTAGGTCATGAAGGCTATGCATATTCCTGTCATCTCCAAGGGCATTTGTTTTCACACTGCTTCCCACTTGGAGAAAGCCATTGTTAGGGATATTTGGCTCCTGCATCAGTATTCTCATTTTTAATTTATTTTTGTTTCTAGTCATCTACCTTATCCTCACATAATCATAAGACATAGAAGTCATTTTTGCTGCATTGGTTGGGGCAGCTGTTTGCATTCCAGCCCCTTGTTTATCCTTGGCTGCTGTTAAATAGGCCATTGTGTCTTAAACATGAATCTTGATAATCTTGTTAAGAAGTATATTCTGATTCCATAGTTTGGTGTTAAAGCTTGAGATTCTGCATTTCTAACAAGCTCTTGGGTCATACTACTGCTGCTATGTGGAACACATTTTGAGTAGACATGAGTAGGCTTTAAACTTGATAGTTACTTATTCATTAAAATGTAGTGGTGAGGCTTTTTGTATTAGTTACGTATTATTTTAAAATTTGAAAAAGATTAAGAAATAGAAATTTTTAAACCACCCAAAGTCATACTGTTTGGTGTGTTTTCTTTTAGTATTTGTATTGATTGATTAAAATATTTAGTCATGCTTCATTACCTCTGTCTAATTCCATTCCCCTTCTTCTCTCCCTGGATGTAATCACTATCGTGAATTCTGGAATTTACAGACCCATATGTGATTTTTATACTTTCACTACCTATGTATGTATACTTAAACAAAATATAGTATTTTACATCTTAAACATTATAAATGATACTGTTCATACCACTCTGCAATTTAACTTTATTCTTAAGCATGACATTTCAAAAATTGTATTCATGTTGAAAGAAATAATTAGGAAGTCATTAATATTTTGTTGCATAGACACCACAGTTAATCAGTCTCCTGTCAATGAAGATTTAGATAGTATTCATTACAAATGATACTATATGATACTATAATGGTCATTCTTAAAAATATCTTGTGCACATATGTTGAAGTGTCTGTTGGATAGTATTTTCTTCTCTAATTTTGTTTTTTCACTGTTGCAAGTCTATAATTGAATCTAATTTCTTCATATGATTTGCTCATTTCATTACCAGCTCTCTGAAGGCATAATTTTTAAGGATTAGTTTTTTTTATTACAATATACCATAATTTACTTAACCATTTCTCTATTATTAGACATTTAGATTGTAAGTTTCACACTGTGATAAATAGCTTTACATATAAAGGTTATTAATGGTTAGGATGATTTTCTTAAATTACATTCCCCAGAGGGAATTTACTTAGGTAAAGAAGGTAGCATTTTTAAGGTTCATGTTGCCAGATTTCTTTGTAAAGTATCGTACTATCTCACTGACACTTAATTAACTTCTTAAGGCTCAGAAGGATTGTTGTTCTCTCTGCCCTCCATTTCAGGCTATTGCAAACCAACCCTGGGCTCAGAAACTTATGTTTCACAGTCCAGGTTTTGTAGAATATGTGTTGGATCGGTCTGTGGAGCATGACAAAGCTTCAAAGGATGCCAAATATGAACTAGTAAAAGCGCTTGCCAATTCCAAAACAATTGCAGAAATCTTTGGGAACCCGAATTATTTGAGGCTCAGGACTTACCTGAGTGAAGGTCCATACTATGTAAAACCTGTTTCCACAACAGCAGTGGAAGGAGCTGAATGATCTCTTCTAGAGTTTAATACAGGGGACCATTTTTGGACCAGAACTACTCTGAAGGCCCTTGACTCCATCTGTGTTTTATAAAACAAAGACGTCCCTCCTCCCAGAATTATCATGGAACAGATAACCGAACTTTATCACCAACATTTTTTGTGTGTTTTTACATTGAAATGCAGTGCGGAACCAGGAGTTTGGAGTACATGAAGACCAGGCAAATTTGGTCTAATGAAACTAGGTGTTTTTCAGATTATTTTGACTGCCATAATCTTTGCGTCAACATGAAGTTCTTGGTTCTCCTCCCTGGAAACAGCCACGGACATACCTACTCTCTCATTAAATAATCAAAATAAAATGGAACTATAATGATTTCTGAATTCTTTTCACCTTTTTTTTTTTTTTTTTACTACCCCTTCTGATTCCATTTTCAAAGTGTTAGATATATTCTTTGAAAATAAGTAGTATGGAATCTTAAACTTAATGTCCCCGCTATATTTAGAATAAATAATTTTAGTAAAGTTGCCCTTGGTTTTTTTCCTTCTATTTGAAAGTCAACAAAAATAAATCCAAAAATATGTTTCTAGTGTTCTTTTGATGCTTTAGCAGTTAACCAGTGAATTGTATTCTTTTGTTTGACTTTGGGGCGGGGGCGTGATAATGTGCTAATCAGAAAGGTTCCTAAACTGTCATTTATCGGTCATAATTCTTGAGGGTTGTTCCCCCCCCCCAATAGCATTGACTTTTATTCATTCATGTTAAGTCACCTGAAATGATATCTGTTGCATTTAAATGCTCAATGTAAATGGCTGAACAAATCCATTTCAATGGATACTCAATATCTCACATAGAAAAGTCACTTCAACATAGACTCATATTGAGGGTTTTGCCTCTAATTTTTGTGATCCATAAAGTCAATCTTGAGTGGTTCACACAGAGGGAGATTCTCTAACTACTAACAATCAGAGTCAGAAGAGAAGGGCCAGTATGTATAAACTAGGTTCCCCTCTCAGCTTACAAAGAATGACCTTCCTATTGACAAAAATGTTCCCCTCCATTTTCCAGTGCCTGTCTTCAAATGGCAAAGCACCCTACTTGCCAGGTTACCCATCTGAAGGTTCCTTCATGAAACTATTAATTAGAGTGTGACAGGTTCATAATTTAGGGAGGTATTTCTTTTAGGTCATGATGAAGGTGATAAGTCACTCCTGTTAGTAACAAAATGATTCTCAGGTGACTGCAATTTTCTGTCCCTGGATTCATTGTCTCTCTTCTGCCATCTCTTACTATATTTGAGTCTCCTTACTACTTTCAGATTGACCATATCTCTACTTTTAATATCATTAAATAGGCTACAGAATGTTCCTGGCCTGAGAAACATTGTTTTTTAGATGATTTTTGCTTTATCTCATGTGTGATGTTGAGTTTATCCAGCTAGTAAGTAGCGAAAACAGCAGGTGCAGATATGAAAACAAAAGAACATACTTAGAGCATGACAAGTGTTTCAGTATGGCCGTAGTATTTCATGGGGCAAATTGCAAAATTACTTAACTAATCATGTTGCTGCTAAGTACTGTCAAGTCAGTTCTGACACAGTGATCCTGTATAGGGTTTTCAAAGTTAGAAGAGTAACTACCTAAGTTTCCAAGGAGTGGCTGGTAGGTTTCAGTTAGCAGTTTAATTCTCCTACATTGTCACACCAGGAATGCATAGCTACTGTTTTTTAGCATGTACTTTATGCTAGGCAAGTCCTTCTATAGGTCACAGCCCAGGGCCAGAATATTAAGTTGGCTTTCTAAAAGACTGTCAGATGTGTTCTCCTTTTGTTATTTGGTCAAAGTTATGTAGATTATAATGTATGATGCAAAGCATTGGATGACAAGATTGGTATGAACAGCAAGATGGACAGTTCAAACCCACCAGTTGCTCCTTGGAAATGCTATACAGGGTTGCTATCAGTAAGAACCTACTCGATGGTACTTAACAACAACATTACAGATTATAACAGAGCCTTGGTAATGTAGTGGGATATGCTTTGGACTGCTAACTGCGCGGTCAACAGTTCAAATCTACCAGCTACCCCACGGGAGAAAGATGAGGCTGTTTGCTCCCGTAAAGATTTATCTCGTATGATGTTGAGTTTATCTCGTATGATGTTGAGTTTATTCACCTAGTAAGTAGAGGAAACTGTATACCACCATAACTTACTGAACATTTGTTATGTGTCAGACATTGTTTTATGAGCTTTTTTTTTTTTTAAATGTTTTATTGTGAATTATATGATAGTTTACATGGGAGAACCTTAGTTATACATTCGTTCCATCGTATATCATCCCGTTGCCATGGTTCCAATTCTATGAGCTTTCCATGTATTGACTCATGTTTCTGTCTTCTCATTTCCAGGAGTTAGGTACTGTTCTTACTTTGTTTACAGATGAAACCAAGGCACAGCAAAGTTGAGGAACTCTCCCAAGGTCACACAGCTAGTAAGTGGAGCCAAGATTAGAACCTAGGCTGTTAAGTTCAGAACCTATGTTCTTAAAATACGGCCTCTTCCTCTTACTGAGCATTCACTATGGGTGCAGTCCAGTGCTAAGCACTTGATCCTAATTCCATTTAGTTCATAAACCCTACAGGGTTGAGTTTGTACATAAACAGGCTCAGTAAGTTTTAGTAACACCCAAAAATGTGATTCTACTAAGTGTCTTGTTTTGGAAGGTGTGTTATTTTGAGAGACACCTAAAATGCTGGGAGCCACAGGATGGGAGACCTGGTGTGGCGCTGTAGAATAAGCATTGGATGGCAAGGTCGGTTTGAACCACACGATGTATGGTTCAAACTCACAGCCACTCTTTGGAAACCCTATACAGGATTGCTAGGAATCTACCGATTTAATGGCACTTAACAACAACAACCATAACAGAAATGTGAGTTTGTCGTACCCTATCTGTGAAGCAGTGCCTAATTATAGGACTTGTTGAAAATTGTTCTATAAAACCAAGTTGTTACATTAGTGAGGTTAAAGTTTATATATACTAGATGGCTAATACTTTGAAATGAAATTTTCATGTCACCCAGATTATGAAAGTGTTTTCTGCTTACGAACAAAAGTAACATTCTGTTATAAAAATTCCCTGTTTAGTGTTTTTCTTTAATTCTTGGAATTCTCAAAAATTAGTCACCGTGGTTATTGAGACATGACAGATTCATGAAGTAAAAAGAATTTCACTGTTTAATTATAAAGAGAAACAAGACTTTTGGTTAAAATTTTAAATTTCCCTTTTCTGAAAGATTTTACTTTGAAAGAACTCATGCTACATGAACATAAATTCCTTAAAAAGAGATTTCAGTACGATCTTGTACATCAGAGCACTAGAAATATTTTATAGCTTCTAAAGAGCAATTAATGATTCAGAAAAACTATAAGACACAAGGAAGAAGGGATACATTTGATAGCAGAGTAGAAAGTAATTTAAGAAGAATTGTTAAGTGCTGTCGCGTTGGTTCCAATACATAGCGACCCTGTGTAGGGTTTCTGAGGAGCGGCTGGGGAGTTTGAACCACTGACCTTGCAGTTCAAACCGATCTTATGGTTGAGTGCTTAAAGAAGAATAGAGGTAAGAAAAACAGCTTAATCACCAAAATACCTGGCATTGCTTTTTATGGTGCCCATGTAAAAACGTTCAAAACTGTCAAGATATGTCAGAAGTTTGCAGGAAATGAGCCCATAGTATGTGTCAAACAGTGTACATTCTTTTCCATCATTAACTTCTTTCCATGCTAGGGACATTTCAGCATGTGTAGTGTCTGAGGATGTGAAAATGAATTTATAGCAACATCTGTTGTAACTGATGTGCTGTTTTCCAGAAAACTTTGAACTGTGTATAGGTACAAGGCCAATGGACTTAGCACAAATTCCTACAAACACATCAGGCGGTACCATAATGGGTACTTCTTTGAGAACTACATACATCATCCTACTCACCTCCTGGGATATTATAAAAGCCTCACCACTGCAGTAATCTGGGTAGTACTTTTCTGGGTACTTGCTAACAGGAACAAATTCTTGGCTACCAGGGTCTCTATTGGGTATATCCTGATGGATAACTCTTCCTACATAGATCTCTTCAAGGTGTTCTTTCAGATTGAGAAGATAGTCAACTAAACTTGGTAGATTGACAAACATCTCTTCATCAACCTTGAGAATGAACAGGGCGTTAGGACAGAAAGTTACTGTCCACTGCATCATGGCAATGATCTTCAGAGTTTGGTTCTCAGAAGTGTCCAAGAAGATTCCTTCAATTATATCATTATTCTTGTGGGACTCTTGGTCTATCTCTTGCTGGGTAGTTAACAAAACAGGCATTCCCAGAGCAAATAGTGTGAGGATGGTGTGCCCTTGGATACTGGTCACGTTACCCCAGGTTTTCCTGATAAGGTCCCGCCTTGTCTCATTTCCTGGGCTACTGAAAATGAGAGAGAGCAAAAAAATGTTCTTCCCTTTACACACCTCTGACTGGCTCAGAATATAATATTTGGAGAGATTGCTTCTGAGGGGTTCCATGTTCAATTTTCTGGCTTTATCCTTAACTTCAAGAACTTTCATATCAACATACGGCAATGAGTGCAGAAAGTATTCTTCTACAAAGTCAGCCCCAAAAAGTAAGGCATGAAATAGGATGACATTAAACAGAATGAAACACCACTGGTAAGTTCTAAGTCTGCAGAATGTCACCTAAAAAAAGAAAGAACATGTTTTCATTCAAACTTCATTTCCATTCCTGTCTTAACTCTATATATGCCACTGCTAGGAGTCCTGGTGTGGTGCTGTGGGTTAATGCGCCAGACTGCAGAACCGTTTGAACTGCAAGGTTGGCAGTTCAAGCTCACCAGCTGCTCCTTGGAAACCCTATACAGGGTCGCTGTGGGTCGGAATTTACTCGATGGCACTTAACAACAACAATAGCACTTGGAATCCTGGCGCTGTGGGTTAATGCATCAGTCTGCAAAGTCGTTTGGACTGCAAGTTCGGTGGTTCAAGCTCACCAGCTGCTCCTTGGAAACCCTATACAGGGTTGCTATGGGTTGGAATCAATTCAACGGCACTTAACAACAAAAACATAGCACTTGGCAAAAAATCTTTTTAGTATTTTTATTATTGTCTCATACTAGATCTTGGTCTGTTGGATAGCAAGCGTCACGTCTGACTTGTTTCATATTGAGTTCAGTAATTGGCACAAAGAGCACACTGAATAAATGTTGGTGGGTTGCTTGCTTGTTTAGATTAAAACCTGTTTATATATACAAGGCACTGTCTTAGAAACTAGGAGAAATAGGAATCAGACATAGACACATGGATGTAAAGTAATACGTGGCATCATAATAGAACATACAGAAAAACATGATGCTCTTTTTCACACTGAAGCAGTTGGATAGGTTTCTTCTCTAATTACAAAGGTCAAGGGCTATTTTTCCATGAAGTGGTGGTTTTTATTGGACACTGCACACTGGCTGCAATCAAACATTTATATTTCAGTATGACTTTCCTACTGACTATCTGGTATTTAATCTAATACCAGAGTCTGTTTTGACAGTGTTTCCTAATCCAGCTGATATCTGATCAGATAGGCAGATTCCTGCTATCTGTATAGCACCAGAGATCTAGGACTAACCTACTAAGCTTACTCTACCTTATCTAAGGAGCTAGAAACTTTCCCTCTAGAAGGAAATTAGCTTATTCAGGGTTGTAAAATAACAGAACCAAGGAGCATTAATGAGGTCAAGTCCCTATTGGAGGCTTGAGGAACAAAGTCTTTCATAATAATGTCTGCTGTCATTGAGTTGATTAGGATAAGCATTGAACTGTGAACCACAAGGTCAGCGGTTCTAACCCACCAGCTGCTCCTCAGAAACCCTATGCAGGGTCACTATGAGTCAGAACTTACTCGACCAGCTCTTAACATCATTGCAATCCCACATGTTTCAGCATCCAACTGCACTCCCTAGGGTTTCCAATGGCTAAAACTTTATAGGCATACTCCACCATCTCTTTCATAGCACCCCTATGTGTATTTGAGCCATCAACCTTCTGGTGAGTAACCAAACACAAACCATTTGTGCGACCCAGGGAGTTTTCCATATTAATAGTTACTTCTCATTGAGCACTTAGTAAATGCAAGATGTGCTAAACGCTTTATTTTCCTTAACTTTTTTTTTTAGCCCTGGTCATATGCCTTTTCTGATGGATTATCTTCAAGATTAAGCTCATCATCCTAGCGGTTTAATAAATTGCCCAAGATCACACAGTGAGTAAGGAAGGGAGTAGATTGCAGTCATGATTTGAAATCAAGTCTGTTAGATTCTAAAGCTCTCTCTTAACCATCGGAGAATCTTGACTTTCATCTTTACTTTCCCTTGAACAGAAACAACAGAGCAAAACAAACTCCACATTTGTGATCTGAACTCTTCAAGTTTCAGTGCTGATGATTTGCACATGGAAGAAAATTTAGCTTCTTCAAAGCATATTTTAATAGATATCAAATGCTTCAAAGATTATAAACAACTTACCTGCATGTTGACTGTGAGCAGTTTCAGGGCTTGGAAAGCTATGGAATCCAGATGGCAAATTATGCCCAAATGTATCTTACGAGATCACTCCAGTCTAACAGCAATTGAAGTAAAGTACTTTGTGCCTGAAACTTTAAAGATAAGGTTTCTTGCTAATCAACCTAAGCTTTTGTCCCAGAATACATGCTGTCTGCATAGGAAAGCAAGCATTGATCATGTTACAGCTAGAGTGATTCCAGAACAATGACTAGGAAAAGCAAACCTTTTCAAATGTTTCCAGTCTTGTGTGCCTCATGAAATTGACTCCTTGTTTTATGTTGAGTTCCTGGTGAAGCATGTGTGGAAGCTCAAAGAACAGTTCACTCACATTACCTTTCCACAGCATCATCACACAAGGAAATGCGCCATAATATCCTGGGTTAAGAATAACCATCTTATGATCAACTTTCACTTGCCCTGTTATGTTATGTAAGTTTGCCCTTGCTTTGAAATGACTGAACCAACTCCTACTCACAACAAATTCTTCATCACAATCATCTTTACTGGGCTCAATAAGAAACATATGTACCTTCTCCAATTTGCATACACATTCTTAACGACACAGGCACTGATCTTGTTCATAACCTGGGGACTGCCTGTAGTGTGTTTTAGAGTGTATCTCAAGTTGGAATAGTTTCTGCTCCCTGGAACATGCAAGAAACGTACTAAATATGAACATTTCTCACCCCTAGATGGTTCATTTTCCCTCCTTAAAGGAGTATCAAATGGTGAGGTTGATAGTAATTTCACTGGAAGAGACGCTGAATTCCTGGTATAGGATCTGCAAGAACTTTACTAAATTAATTTTGAGGTATCCAGCCTATCACCCCACACCAGGCAAGTTTTATCTTAATATGGGAAACAACATGTAGTCTACTTTCGTCTGAATTGAAGAAACTAAGCGTTTCATGTTTGCCCTTTTTCTGGAGTATGTATGTGAAGGGATTATCCCAAACATCTTTTCTATAAGCAAGTTTATTTTAAGAAAAACAATAATCACATATAGTATATTTTCAAGTTTCTGTCACATAACAGTTGTAGATTCTGTTCTCATGTCAGGATACTATTTCATCATTTTCGTTTCACATGTTGATATTCCTACCTGCAATTCCTAGCAGTTTATGTAGTTACTTGGCTATTAATAATGTTATTAAATATAAAATTGGCTAAGTTTTTTTTTTTAATGTTTTATTGTGAATTATGTGATAGTACATGGGAGAACATTAGCTTTACATCTATCCTGTTGTATATCCCTGTTGTATATCGTTTCATTGCCATGGTTACAATCCCCTCCATGCATCATCAATCAACCAATCAACCCTGCAAGCCTGCCCCCATCCCCCAAGGTCGTCAGCACACAGCCCGTCTCCCTCTCTGGGTCTAGAGTCCCCAGCTACTCCATCTCTCCATATCATCATCTCTGTCTCCATCTCTGGCGTCACTGATTCTCTGGGTAGTAGGATCTCACACTCTTCTTTTCTCTCTTGATGGTTCCAGGGACCTCTGCTCCTGGACTGCAAAGTCAATCACTCCCCTCCTTTTGCTACAAAGCATCCACCTTTACATTTCCAACCCTTGCAGTCAGTCCTGATAACAATTATTCACCATTATACCACAAGGGACCTGTCTCCATCTCCTTTCATTAGCCCGCTCAGACAGATTGGATTCTACTCAGTGGAGATTCTACCTTCCTCCGCACCCTCTGGTTCTAGGCTCCCTCTTGAAAGCTTGTAAGCCAGTCACTTCTTGCCTTTATAGCTCCCCTACCCCCCCCCCCATTTTAGGTAGCCAATGTCCAAGTTGCCCATCCTAAAGTTGGCTAAATTTTGTTTTTATCATTTCATCATGCAAACGTGAAAACTTTTTTAGATGTAGGAAAAACAAACCAAAAACACAAAAAAACGAGAGTGAAAGGACATTTTTAACAGGTAAGCTTACTAAATTTGTCTTGTATTTAATTAAACACAAATCTATTTTGCAATTCTCATTTTTAGTCATAAACTTTGCTCCTGGAACTTCTCTGGGCTTAAATTTACAGCATTTGGATTCTTTGTCTGTGAATGGTTCAAACTACATTGTACTATGAAGTCATCCTGGGTTGAAATCCTATGCTAGCCAATTACTGTAACTTTAGACAAGATACCCCAAACTCTTTTGGCCTCAATTTACCTTTCTCTGAAAAATTGATCTCATAAGGATCCCTGGTAGAGTATTAGTGGGTTATGCGTTGGGTTGCTAACTGAAAGGTCAGCAGTTCGAATCCACCAACCTGCCGTTCTTTGGGAGAAACGTGAAGCTTTCTGTCCCTGTAAATTTATAGCCTCGGAAAACCTATATTAGAGTCACTAAGAGTCGGTACCCACTCGACAGCACATTACCACCACGAAAAATGGGTGTCAATAGTAACCACACTGTGGGATGGCTGTGGGAATTCAGTGAGAAAATACATTAAAAGTGCTTAGATGGCCTGGTACATAATAAGTACCACCCACCCCAAACGCACCAAAACCACTGACATCAAGTCCATTCTAACTCAGTGACCCATTATGGGCTTTCTGATGTTGTAAATATTTATGGGGAGTCCTGGTGTGGCCCTGTTGATTAATGCACTGAATTTCAAGGTCCACTTTGAACCAGGCCGCCTGCGGTTCAAGTTCACGAGCTGCTCCTTGGAAACCCTATACAGGGTCGCTATGGGTCGGAACCCTACTCGACGACACTTAACAAATACTTATGGTTGGATAAAGCCTAATTTTTCTCTCAGGAGCGCTGGTTGTTGTTCTGGTGTTATGTGCTATCGAGTTGGCAGTGACTCTCAGCTACCCTAAGGACAACACAAGGAAACACTGCCCAATCCTGGGCCAACCTCACAATAGTTGCAGCGCTTGAGCATATTGCTCTGCTTAAGTTCTCCGTAAAGTGAGGATAAGAACAGAGAGTGCCACAATGTTGATGTAACAGACAATGATATATACGAGCGCGAAGGATGAAGGTGAACATTGCACATAAGAAAGCTTAAGTTATGCATAACCCAGGTCAGAGCTTAAGAGTGCGTATTGCGCATGCTCGGTTTCCTTACGCTCTCCTAGGCCCTCTCGTTTCTCCCTAGGGGAGGGGGCCGGAAGTACAGCCGCTTCCGCCGGCTGTCTTCCGGCGGAGGGACGCGCGGAGATGACGCTGGCAGCGCCGGAAGCCGCGCCCCTGTGAGGTTGCGGACCCCGAGCGGCGGCTGCAGGTCCAGGTATGTGTTTAAAGTCGGGGACGGGGAAAGGATTCTTGGGTGCCTACACCGCTGCTGATTCCCTTACTTCTACTTGTTCATTTTTCTTACTATGCAGACGCCATGGCTGCGGAGCGGACCTGGCCGCTGCGAAGCTCTGGTGGCCCGAGTGCGCCCAGTCGGTGTGTGCCCGGCGCGAGGTCCCGGGCCCCGGGGCGCTCGCTCAGGTCAGTGCCGCACGGAATACGGCTTTGGGAGCTGGGGATCTGGGGATGACGAGCAGGTTGAAGGGATCTGGAGTTCATTTTGTTGTTGTTGTTATGTGCCATCGAGTCGGTTCCGACTCAGCGACCTTATATAGGGTTTCTGAGGAGCATCTCGTGGCTTTGAAATGCCGACCTTTTGGTTCACAGTCCAATGCTGATCCTGCAGCCACACTACGAGTTCATTTTAAAGATAGGAAATTAAATATTCGGAGTTACTGCATCCTAGTACCTGAATTTCCTTATCTGCAAAATGAGTTGACTGGTGTCCCAGGGCTGTGGTGACTTTGAAAGATGAAGTGCGGAGAGGTACTTGATGAAATAGAAAGCTCTGTGTACTAATGTGAGGGACCGCACTGTAATTATGAATGCACCATGGAAACAGGTGTGTATGTGGGGTGCTGTTTGAAATAAAGCACAAATAATACTATGTAATTATGCTTCGCTGGCATTTATTGTGTGCCAGGTACTGTGCTAAATGCTTTACATATATTTTCCTGTTTAATCCTTACAAAAATCTTTGTCGACAGTGCAGTTCGTAACTACATTTTAAAAGTGAAAAAACTGTGGCGGAGATGTTGTCAAATGCCATTGACTTGGTTCCGACTCATAGCGACCTTGTGTAGGGTTTCCATTGAGCAGCTGGTGGGTTTGAACTGCCAACCTTGTGGTTCGCAGCCCATTGCTGAACCTACAGCGCCATACTAGGAGCCCCAGATATTGTTAAGTGTCTTTCAGTCCGTTCCAACTCACAGCAATCCTGTGTAGCGTTTCTGAGGAGCACCTGGTGGGTTTGAACTGCCGGCCTTGGGGTTCGAAGTCCAGTACGCTGATTCACAGCTCCACATCCAGCTTGGATGAAGTGATTTCCCCAAGATCACCTGGCAACAAGTGGAGGTGCAAAGTCTGTATTTTGCAAACATTATTTTTTCAAAACTTTTTTTTGAAAAAGGTTACAGTGAAAAGGACCCCTGCACCCGCGTTCCTCAGGTCTCCAGTTCTCTTTGGAGGCAACTAATGTTACTTGTTATATAGTTTTCTATACACATTTTCAAAGCTTCTGTACTCGTGATATAACTTTTGATTATGATTGATAAGAGAGAGATGATTGAGCCTACCCTATTCCTAATTACTCCCCTCCACACACACAAAAAGGAAGGGAACTGCTTTAATTTCCCATTCTTGACAGTGGTGGGGAAGGAAGAGAAAAATGGTTCTAACTGTTTTATCCAGAACATCGTCTCTAAGGAGTCTTGGTGGCACTGTAGGTTAAGCTTTGGTGGCTGTCTGCACCTGTAAATATGTACAGTTTCAGAAACTCTAAATAGGGTAACTGTGAGTCAGAATCAACTCAATGGCAGTGGGTTTGGTTTTTATTTGGGTCAATAAGACTTGGAGGTCTAGGGTTTGTTAGGGTATTTGTGGAGAGGGGTACGAGAATGAAGTCGTGAGTCTGTCATCTCCTTTGGGACTTTGGTAAAGTCATTTCCACTTCTTGGTCCTTAAATTTCCTCATTTATTAGTTAGAGCAGTGGTGGTAATACCTTGCACCAAATTATGAAGATCTAATATAGCATTTTAGGCTTTAGGGAGTCCCTGTGAATGGCTGAGCCCTCCATTACTAACTGAAAGATTGGCAGTTCAGATCCACTCCGAGGCACCTCAGAAGAAAGGTCTGGCAGCCTCCTTTCTGAAGGTCACACTGTTGGAGACCCTGTGTTTTATAATTCTGTTCATCACACTCATGGGGTCACCATGAATCTGAATAGACTCCATTGCAACTAGTATTGTGTTCTTTTTCAGTGCCATCTAATCTGTTCTGACCCAAAGCGACCCTGTATAGTGTTTCCCAGGAGAAGTTGGTTGGTTTGAACTCCTGACCTTGTTTGCAGTCCAGTGCTTATCCTGCAGCATCTTGTTGGGTGTTTTTTAGTCTTTAAAGCCAATGGAACATAGGAAGTTAAATGACTGACCCAAAAGCCAAAAGAAATTCCTATTAGGAGTTAGGGGACTATATAAATTTTAGAAGCCAAATTCAGGTCTTCCATCTCTCGTTTTAGGAGTCTTTCCATCCTCTTCCTTATTTCCTCAGACCTTCATGATGTTAAAACCGAGGGCAGGTTTAATATTTAGTCAAGGGGGAGAGAAAAAGGACAAGCTAGCAGAGGGTGTGGGTAGACTAGAGAGGAAAATGCATTGAACAGAAAATTATAACCTCAACTGACTATCTGCCCTTAATTTATAAAATGAAACTCCCAGTAAGTTTGTGCCCTTGGGTTTTTCTTCAGATAAGTTCTGCTTACTGTTATTTCTAAGCAGCTTAAGAGAAACTTTGTGATAGAATTATAAGGTTATTAAGAATAGCAAAACTAACAAAAAGTCCCATTTTAGGTACTCTTAGACTGGCACTGTGCTATGCATGTCTCTCTTTTATTTCTGATTTTCTTAATCATTACAATGTGTGATAACTTCCATTTTACTGATAACAAAACTAAAGTTTAGAAATAGGTTGAACGTATGCATGTTCACCTAGCAAGTGACTGAATCTGTGTAAGATGTGACTGCCAAAGCATTATTATTTATTCTGTTTCTTTCCAATTGTCCCCAATGTGAGCAATCCCTCGGCTACAACCAAGATCATTCCTATGTTTTTAAGAATTTGTAATTAAGTCAGACATGTGCTTATGGCTCTTATTTAGCCTTACTGTAGTGTAAGAAAGGAACCTTGGTGGTGCTATGGGTTAAACATTGGGCTGCTAACCTTACAGTCAATAGTTCAAATCCAGTTGTTGCTCTGTGGGAGGAAATGAGGCTGTCGTCATAAAGATTTACAGTCTCAAAAACCCTAAGGAGCACTTCTGCTCTGTCCTCTATAGGGTATCTTTGAGTCAGAATTGACTTGATGGCTAGGGGTTTCATTGTGGTCAGTGGGCTAAGCATTGGGCTGCTGCTAACTTCAAAATTGCTGGCTCAAACCCACCAGCCACTCCGCAGGAAAAAGATGAGGCCGCCTACTCCTGTGAAGACAACAGTCTCAGTAACCCTGTCTTACCGAGTTGCTATGGGTTGGAAATGACTCAGTAGTAGTGGGTTGTAGTACAAGAAAAGACTGGAAGCCTTTTCAATGATTTAAAAACAGCACATGGGTGAGCAAATGTGATTGTGATAAAGAATTTGTTGGGTCTAGGGTTTGGGGGAGGGGGGGCAAATTTATATAATATTATGGGCTATGAGGAGTTGTCCATAAATTGGATGTTCGTAATCCAGGTATTGCTTGTAAGGAAGCTAAACACTTTGGAATTGAGTATTCCATTGTTGGAATGCTGTGATGGTTTGAAAGCACCTCATGTTGAATTGAAATCCCACTTGAGACATGGCATTCTTAGAGATTTTCTGGAAAAGTCCAGTTTAGACCTGTGACCTTAAGAAAGTCACTATAGCCTCATTTGTGGTCCCCTTCAAAGTCAGTTAATTCTTTCAGAAAAGTTAACTTTTTTAAAAAATAATATGTTCTTAATGTTTTTAATAAAATTAATGACTTTGTTTTAAAAAATAAGATGCATTTTTTCCCCCATGGCAGTCAGAGATGAAAACTGGAAAACAACTTCCCCTAGGGATTGAACAGTTTAAAGGCCAATCTGTAATGCTAAAGTTGGAAAAGAAATTCTTACTAGGAGTTAGGGGAATATATAAATTTTAGAATAACTTTTTTTTTTTTTTTTTTAAAGATCCTCACAGGAAAGCTTGCCCCATAATCTTCAGTAGTGTCCTAGGCACATTGATCTGACTTGTTATAGGAGATATCTTAGTTATTGTGTAAATAATAGAAAACAAGATAATCCTGATAATGTTCTAAAAGAAATGATAAATTTGTCTCATGGCCAATGAAATCACAATCCAGTTCACACATATGCAAGCACTTCTACTACTCATTAAGGGTCTTTCTCTCTTTTTCTGACTCCTTAGTAGGAGGGAGATTTTATTAGGAGTTAGCTCTGGTAGCGTAGTGGTTACGAATAGGGCTGCGAACCGCAAGGTCAGCAGTTCAAAACTACCAGCTGTTCCGTGGGAGAAAGATGAGGCTTTCTGCTCCCGTAAAGATTTACAGCCTTGGAAACCCTGTACAGGGTTGCTATGAGTCCGAATCGACTCCATGACCCATAACAACAGCAACAACAGTGGATCCTTTCACTTGGATGGTCAGCTTCCCTCCCTTCTCTTCCTCACCTCTGCACTGAAGTAATTTGTTATTGTAGCATTATGTGTGTATGGCCATAGAAAAGAGGCTTAAGTAAAGATTTTCCATAGAAAAATGATTGTTATGATTCAGAAGATTTATTATTATAAGCTGATAAAACTTTGCTCAACTATTTATTTTTTGGCAATCTAGTAAATCTTGAAAATAAATTGATAAAATTCTATCTTGCCCAAACCCTGAAGCTTCCAAAAGTATTTTCTTGACGTCTGAGTCCTGGTGTGGTGCTGTAGGATAAACACTGGACCATAAAGTATGTTTGAACTACAAGGTTGAAGGTTCAAACTCACTAGCCACTCCGCAGAAACCCTATATTGGGTCACTGTGATTTGGAACTGACTTGACAGTACTTAACAACAGATTATTGCCCAGAAATCAAAACTGTGAGACACTAGAGCAAATGGTGTGATTGGAAAGGGTACCTTCTACTAATAAATTAGACTGCCTTTTTTCTGATAATATTCTTGCCAAATTTTATATTGGACAAGTTAATGAAATAATTTTTTACTCGCCTTACATTTACAAACTTGAAAGATGAGATCTGGCTTTTGTGTAGACATGATCTAAATGACATGTATGGATAGGAATTAAGACTTAATTTCTTGTGATTAGTAAGGCCATCTGAGTTTAGAATAAAACTTGTATTTCTTTTTTTTCAGTCATTGAGATTTTTAAACTTAAAAAAGTAAACTAATAGACTTCCATGTACACATCACTCAACATTAACATTAGTACATGTCCAATCTTGGGAAAGTAGTCTTTACTGGTTTGCTTTATTTTGTGTTCTCTTTGCATTAGTTTGGAGCTTTGGTGGCATAGTGGGATATGTGTTGGCTGTTAACCAAATGGTTGGCAATTTGAATCCAACAGCCACTCCATAGGAGAATGATGAGGGGTTTTGCACCTTTAAAGATTTATAGCCTTGGAGACCCTACTCTATACAGGGTTGCTGTGAGTTGGAACTGACTCAATGGCACACAGCAAAAAAAAAAAAAAAAAAAATTGCATTCATTTTACCGTGTTGTTAAGGAGCTCTGGTAGCATGGTGGTTATGAATCGGGCTGCCAACCTCAGGGTCAGCAGTTCAAAACTACCAGCTGTTCTGCGGGAGAAAGATGAGGCTTTCTGCTCCCGTAGATTTACAGCCTCGGAAACCCTGTACAGGGTTGCTATGAGTCGGAAGCTACTCCACAGCATATAACAACAACAATTCCCTGTTGTTAAGAATAGGTTGACACTTGGACTTAGTATCTAAATGCTGGGTTCTTTTCCATCTTTTTGTCCAGTTAGCCCTGGCTTCATTTGTCACACCCCTAAATGGGAGAGTAGTAAATTCAGGCAGACACTATGCCCCAGCTTTTAGCACCAAGTTGTGACTCTCCTGGTTATAGTCAGAAGATGAAGGCAGCAAGATGTATTTGGGAGTGTCCTGTCCTGTTGCAATTTTAATAGCTCTGTAACTGTAAGTGAATCATTTACCTTTGATCTGCAGTTTCCTCACCTACAAAGTAGAGATAGTTCTACCTATTTTTTGATATTTTGTAAGTATTAGGATTATTAGTTTGCCTTATTTGTACAGACGTAACAGGGCTCTCTTGGCTCTTTGGAGTGCATGGTTAAGAATTGTCATTAGCTCATTTGAGACTTATAAAAGCAGACTATATAAGACCAAATTTGGTCCTTGGTAATTCATGTTCTAACAGGCAGTGCCATAAGGAGACAGAAGAACTGGAATACCGGAGACATGAACCTTATTACACCTGCTTATTTTTCTTCCTCAGACCTTTTTCCTTGAACATCTGTTGCAAAAGCAAGTGTCAGTTCTGTGATTTTGATGACAGATCAGATTGTGTCTAGCATGACAACTGATGTCTCAGGTTACTGGTCCAGAGACTTGATTTCTGTTTGTCAAATCCTGGTGCTTGCTTTTTGTGACTTTAGTGGCTAGGTGGAGTGTCTTAAGGAATTCATTAAGGAAATTGTTTTATAATGATATTTATGGGGGAGGGATATATTATAGAAGACACTGTTTTGTAATATATGAAAACTTGTAAATCTTTCATGCATGTAGCATGTGCTAGACTTCAAAAAGAACAAGTCTCACATACCAACGTAAGTTTCACTGACTTACATGTCAGAGATCATGATTTGTTAAGTTTGTTTTCTCAAATGTATTTTGTTTTATGCGCATGGAAAAATTTTCAGATAAAAGTGTGTTAACTGTAAAATTGCAATGTAAGTAACTAAGCATAAAGTTGTAATGCCAAGTTTTTTACACTAATTTTTAATACTTCATTTGTTAGCAGTCTTGCTTGAATGGTCTTTTTGAACAGAACTAATACAATATTTTGATGTGCCACAGGTAAATTTTTCCATAACCTTATGGAGAGAAAGGACTTTGAGACATGGCTTGATAACATTTCTGTTACATTTCTTTCTCTGACGGACTTGCAGAAAAATGAAACTCTGGATCACCTGATTAGTCTGAGTGGGGCAGTCCAGCTCAGGCATCTCTCCAATAACCTGGAGACTCTCCTCAAGCGGGACTTCCTCAAACTCCTTCCCTTGGAGCTCAGTTTTTATTTGTTAAAATGGCTCGATCCTCAGACTTTACTCACATGCTGCCTCGTCTCTAAACAGTGGAATAAGGTGATAAGTGCCTGCTCAGAGGTGTGGCAGACTGCATGTAAAAATTTGGGCTGGCAGATAGATGATTCTGTTCAGGACGCTTTGCACTGGAAGAAGGTTTATTTGAAGGCTATTTTGAGAATGAAGCAACTTAAGGACCATGAAGCCTTTGAGACCTCCTCATTAATTGGACACAGTGCCAGAGTGTATGCACTTTACTACAAGGATGGACTTCTCTGTACAGGTAAGAGATGCTGGAACTGTCTTTTTATTTTTGCATTACATAGGGTGTGATTTTTAAAAAATAAAAAGTACACTCCTGAGGCTTTGAGAATGTGTTATTGGTATTGGTTATCCAACGTACCTGTAATGGCATGCCTCTCCCTTATATCCAAGGGGACACCGCCTGCCCCAGCCTCTGCTTTCCCCTTAGAGAAGACCATCATTTTAAAAAACCTTACAAGAAGAAAACTTCAGGCATTTTTTAAAATGATACGAATTAGAATAATTATAAATTACCTTTTTTTTACACTTTTCCTCCATGTACAATATTCTGTTGGTTAGTTTTATAATCTTTTCATCACCAAGCAATGATTTGTGGGGGAAAAAACACTGGAAATTTTGGTATCTAGTCCCAGCATATAGTTAGATCATTTTGGATGAGTTATTTAACCTGTGTTTCTTCCTAGTCTGTTAAAATATGGGAAGGGAGATACTTCATTCTTACTCTAAAACTCTGTGGTTCTAAAAAGAATTAACCAGAGTTTGAACATGAGAATGGAGAAAGTTGGATATTTTAAATAAAATATAAACATGAAAATTTTAAATTATGTATGTTGTCTTTTAATTATAATTGGCATGCATGTCTATGTATGATGATAACCAGTGCTCATGTTTTAGGCAATACATTTTGATAGGCAATGTAATTACGTAATTCTTAGCATGTTTAGAGTGACTCCAGGTAGTTCTGATCAGTGATCCCATTGCCTACTCACATTGTATGTAATATACTTGGTGTTCTTTTTTAATCCAAGATTATTTCTAATAAACATTTGTGTATTACCTAAACTACATTGTTGTCATTTTTAATAAGTATACTATTCCTTCATGTAAATATCATTACTATGTGAAATAGATCATTTTCATATTAATGCATATTTTTATTAATACCTTTGTTTGCATGTTTTTTCTTGAAAATCATTTGTTTCAGACAGCAGTCTTAGATTAGACTTACACATCCGAAAGTATAAATGACCTTTATAGCATCAATGATTGCTCCTTCCAGATTGAATTGCTATCATTGTCACAGAAGTTTTTCTTAAATAACCTGCTTCTCCTTCAGAGTTCCATTTCACTTTTAATATTATAAGTAGTTAAGAGATGCATGTTTTCTCAAGATTGTTTTTTATTCATCAAGGATGTACATTTTCCCCATGTAGTGGTATATTCTCTGAAATACTAGCAGATTACCAGTTTTATAAAATACACGTTTTGATTTGAAGAATTTTATGATTTTATTTAACATCTTGAAGTTACTTCACAATTGCATCATTGTCTCTATTTTATAAGCCCTATTATTGAAACATCTGTACATTGATACTTTGATGTACTTTTCCAGTAGTGATGATAATAGCTTTTCCGTGCCCTTTTTGCTTTATGATCCTTGGCAGGTATTTTTTTAAAAACTTCAAGATGCTGTGTGGTCCTGAAGCTTGGGGCTTATTTGCACATAGATAAATACTGGTAGTTAACTCATTGTATTCAGAACCTTTGGTAGTTTCCTCCCCTCCCCCCCCTTTTCTAGTGAAACTTTACTTTTGAAATACAGTTGGAACATACATATATATGAAACATTCATTGAATTCTCTACCTGGAAAGTTAATGTCTACAGTAGGTGTGAACAACCCTACATTTTGAAGATTATTTTGTAGTGGGTCTATAGACTTAGCTTTATTTTGATTAAGTTCATGAGGTTTACATATTGAAAGTTATGCTTTAGCTATTGGAAATGATCCAAAACATTACATTTTTCTAACAGCACCCATTCCTGGGATTATTACTAGTGAGAAAAATGTCTTTTTATTTTGTTACTTTTGTATTGGGAAATCCTGATTTGGCACTAAAAGTGCAGTGACTCTCAGATTAGTTCTTTGAGCATACAGTAAAACTGTATTGCCAAAGAGATTGACGGCAAATGCTAAAAAAAAATTGACATTGTATAGATTGAATAAGATGGTTGGTTATCCTTCTGATATGCAGGATATTTCTGAAATGATAATAAAGGAACCTCTTATGCTTTGTGCTGTTAAACCTATAAGGAAGAGTAGAACTGCTCCATCGAATTTTCAAGATTGTAAATGTTTACAGAAGCAGACTTGCCTCATCTTTCACCCATGGAGTGGCTGGTTGAGCTGAAACGCCAGCCTTTTAGTGAGCAGCCCAATGCTTAACCCACTGCAACACCAGCACTCCTTCCTGCATCGTTAGGCTGTGCAATTTTGTCAATTCATTCAGTAGATATGAAATACCTACTACGTAAAAGATAATGTAAGAGCATATGCAGATGAAGTAGAGCAGTTCATTGCTCAGACAGGGATCTGGTAGGTAACTTGATGAAAATACCCATGTAGATGGTGGCAAATCAGAGAATACTTGCTCTTCTAAATAGGGTTCACTGCTGTTCCACTCTAGTGGATTATTGCCATTGAGGGATTTAGGTTCAGAGTTGCCAGATCTAACTTTTCAAGAGAAGTCCCAAACCCAGATCTTTGTGAAATACTTTGATTTTTAGGTATAATATTTTAAGTATAGATAATCCCTACGTTACAAGCTAACCTCCACACTTCCCAATACTTGAAGGTACAGAAATGGTTCATAATAACAAGCTGGTGCTACTTTGTAACATACATGAAAACAGTATTATTGTTATTATATTAAACATGTTTTAGTTTATCTGGAACTGTTCTTTAATATTTTTGTGCATACACTATATACTAAGACAAACTTTTGACTGACTTTAGATATGAGGAACTATACTTAATTGTTCCAACTTATGTACACATTCAACTTAAAGACAGACTTTAAACTTGTTCATAATGCTTACATTGCTCAAATTTTTTAAATATGTGTTTAGGCCAATTATAGCACATCTATTGGCCATACTCAACCTGTGAGGTTAAACATTCTGATGTTTGGCATACGATCTAATAAGAAAAATTAGTCCTGTTGTGGTACTATAGGATAAGCAGTGAACAGCTAACCACAAGGTTAGTGGTTCAAACCCACCAGCCAATCCTCAGAAACTCTGTACAGGGTCGCTGTGAGTCGTAACTGACTCAATGGCACATAACAAAAGCAGAGCTATAAAAGAGGAATGATGAAAATGTGTAGATGAATTGTATGAGGAGAAAATCATAGTTCAGAGGAAGGAATGATTTCTTCCATTTGGGACGATTGAGGAGTATTTACATTGGTCATTTGAGAATGTGTAGATTTAAAAATGAGATTAAGGGTAAGGGGTATCCTATAGGAAAATCAGCAATAGCAAAGGCATGGGAGTGGTTAAACATTGGGGTATAGGAGGAAAACGAAATTCATTTAATGGGATTCTTAGGATGGAAGTAGGGCTGTTATGATGTACCACCAAGTCCATTCTCAGTTACCCATGTGACAATAGAACTGCCCCATAGTAAATTGTGTGTATATATATATATATTGTTAATTGCCGCCAAGTTGGTTCCGACACATAGTGACCCTGTATAGGGTTTCTGAGGAACGGCTCATGAGGTTGAACCTCTGATCTTGCAGTTCAAACCAACCTTAATGGGCTCTGATTCAGAGGAGAAAGACAAGGACTATAATTCAAAATAATTACACAGCTTAACATATAAACGCACAAGTAAATGCTAGAAGACAGTGACATAAACAAATGTTTGCAGCAGTATGTTCTGTTATGAACATGACAGATGTTCTATTTGTGAGTCAGATACCAACATGAGATGGTGAAAAACTCTCAGCAAAGATCCCAACAAAGCAAGTACATCTTTAATATACTTGTTAATTGCACTCAAAGAAAATCCAGTGTGTAGTTAAGCTGTAAATATGCTTTATAAAACAGGTTCTGGTGGTGATGGTGGTGGTGGTTGTAAACCACCCAGTAGATTCCAACTTACAGCGACCCTGTATACAATTTCCATGGCTGTAAATCTTCACAGGAGCAGAAAGCTTCATCTTTCTCCTGAGGAGCTACTAATTGATTCAAACTGCTAATCTTGTAGTTAGCAGCCCAGTTAGTAATCCACTACACTACCAGGGCTCCTTAATTAAAAATAAAAAGTAATCTTAATTTAGGAGTATCTGGTACAACTTTTGAGAATATCAAGCAGTGTTATTTTTGTGCACTGTCACAAACGTAGAATGTCTAATATGCTTAGCCCCTGCTCTGTTGTGTTAAGTGCCATCAACTTAGTTCCGACCCATAGCGACCCTGTATGGGGTTTCCGAGGAGTAGCTGGTGAGCTTGAACTACCGACCTTGCAGATCAAACTGACTTTGCAGTCCAGTGCATTAACCCACAATGATAGTAATGTCCTCTGTCTTTTTGAATGAAATCACCTCTACAAATTGCTAAAACGTTTTCTTGTACCCTTTTGAGTCAGTTCCAACTGATAGTGACCCTGTATAGGGTTTCCAAGGCTGTAAATCTTTATGGGAGTAGAAAGCGTCTGGATTGGATTTGAACTGCCAACCTTTTGGCGAGTAGTTGAGCACTTAGCTGTTTGTGCCACTTAGGGACTCTGTTGCAGTTTAGGTCAGGGTAAATATATCTAGATTAGTAAAGATTGAGATTAAAAAGCAGTTCCTTGAAAGAGCATCTTATTCTCAAGATTTAACAGGATAGAAAAGGGAAGATTAAAAAATGGCTGCAGTTTCTAGGTTATGTATGCCTAGAAAGGCAGTACTGGTTACAGGTGAAGAAAATGAAGGAATAAATGTGAGGGAGTTAGGTGAGTTCAGTTTGGGATAAACGAAATTGAGTTGCCTATGGAAAGTATTAGCGTAGTGGTTACGAATCGGGCTGCGAACCTTAAGGTCAGCAGTTCGAAACTACCAGTTGCTCCGCAGGAGAAAGATAATAAGGCTTTCTGCTCCCGTAGAGATTTATAGCCTCTGAAACTCTGTACAGGGTCGCTATGGGTCAGAACCGACTCAACGGCACTTAACAACAACAATAGAAAGTATAAG